CGGTGAAACTTGAAAATCATTAGTAATTGTTTACTGTAGAAATAACGGTAAAACTTAAAAGTCATTACTAATTGGTTAGCATAGAATTAATGGTGAAACTTAAAAATCAATGTTAACTGTTTATTGTAGAAGTAACTGTGAAACTTGAAAATAATTATTAATTTTTTAGTGTTAGCTTTTTGCTGTAGATCTAACGGTAAAACTTGAAAATCATTAGTAATTGTTTACTGTAGAAGTAACGATGAAACTTCAAAATCACTGATAATTTTACTGTCAGCTGTTTACTTTAGAAGTAACAGTTAGACTTGAAAATCATCGTTAATTGTTAGTGTGGAAGTAACAGTGAAACTTGGAAATCATTATTAATTGTTTATTGTAGAAGTAAAGGTGAAACTTGAAAAACACTGTTAATTGTTTAATGTAGAACTGTAGAACTTGTTAACTGTAGAAGTAATGGTGAAACTTGAAAATGATTATTAGTTGTTTACTATTAACTGTTTAATGTAGAAGTAACGGTGAAACTTGAAAAATCACTATTTACTGTGGAAGTAACGGTGAAATTTGAAAATGACTGTTTACTCTAGAAGTAATGGTGAAACTTGAAAATCATTATTAATTTTTTACTGTTATCTTTTTAATTGTAAAAATAACGGTGAAAGTTAAAAATTATTAGAACTTAGTTAGTGTAGAAGTAACGGTGAAATTTGAAAATTCTCTAATTTAGACTAATGTTGAAACTTAAAAACCACTGTTAATTGTTTAGTATAGAAGTAACAGTGAAACTTGAAAATCACTCTTAATTGTTTACTGTAGAAGTAACGGTGAAACTTGAAAATCACTCTTAATTGTTTACTGTAGAAGTAACGGTGAAACTTGAAAATTATTATTCATTGTTTTGTGTACAAGTAACGGTGAAAATTGAAACTTATTATTAGTTGTTTAATATAGAAGTAAAGTCGAAAGTTGAAAAACACTATTAATTGTTTATTGTAGAAGTAACGGTGAAACTTGAGAATTACTCTTAATTATTTACTGTAGAAGTAACCGTTAAACTTTAAAATGATTAGTAATTGTTTAGTGTAGAAATCGCGTTGAAACCTGAAAATCACAGTTAAGTGTTCAGTGTAAAAGTAACGATGAAACTTCAAAATTGCTCTTAATTGTTTACTGCAGAAGCAACGGTGGAACTTTAAAATTATTGTTTATTGTAGAAGTAACGGTGAAAATTGAAAATCACTGATAATTTTTACTGTTATCTGTTTACTGTAGAAGTAACGGTAAAACTTGAAAATCATTAGAAATTGTTTACTGTAGAAGCAACGGTGAAACTTGAAAATCATTGTTTATTGTGGAAGTAATGGTAAAATTTCAAAATAATTTGTAGTTGTTTAATGTAGAAGTAACAGTGTAACTTGAAACTTATTCTTAGTTGTTTAATGTAGAAGTAAAGTTCAAATTTGAAAACCACTGTTAATTGTTTAGTGTACAAGCACCGGTGAAATTTTGAAATCATCGTTTATTTAGAAGTAACGGTAAAACTTCAAAATCATTAGTAATTGTTTAGTGTATAAATAACGGTGAAACGTGAAATTCATTGTTTATTCTGGAAGTAATGGTAAAATTTTAAAATCATTAGTAATTGTTTAGTTTAGAAGTAGTGAAAACTTGAAAACCACTGTTAATTGTTTAGTGTAGAAATAACAGTGAAACTTGAAAATCACTCTTAATTGTTTACTGTGGAAGTAATGGTGAAACTTCAAAATCACTCTTAATTGTTTGCTGTAAAAGTGACCGTGAAACTTGAAGATCATTAGTAATTGTTTACTGTAGAAGTAGCGGATGAACTTAAAAATTGTTCTTAATTTTTAAATTCAGAAAAAATATTGCTACTTGAAAACTACTGTTAATTGTTTACTGTAGAAGTAACGGTTAAACTTAAAAATTATTATTAATTGTTTACTATTAGCTGTTTACTGTAGAAGTAACGGTGAAACTTAAAAATCTCTGTTTACTGTAGAAGTAACGGTGAAATTTTAAAATCACTGTTTACTGTAGAAGTAACGGTGAAATTTGAAAATGACTGTTTACTCTAGGACTTATGATAATACCGGTTACGGAAGTGGATATATTGTTGATTCTTGTGTTCACGGATATTCTACAATCTTGGAGAATTGGCAGGAGTTTCGTCATACGTAACTAACACGGTAAGCTAGACACGCCCTCAAATATGAGCTTATTCGAAACAAACGTTGACATTAAAATAAATATATAACAAATTCGTTATATGCAACACATATCTGATACTACAAATCATGCATATTTCTAAATTCAAATTCAATCCAAACAATGTTCATATTAAAAATAAATACACAATGATAAATTCGATACATAAAGCTAATACGGATTTGAAGATTGAGGTACTTCCTGATATGCAAATAGCACAAAAGGTAATACCTTATCCCATTTAACAGGATTCTCCTGTACCAATACTCTTAGTAGTCTTAATTCTTCTGTTTGCTTTCTCACACATTCCATTTGTTTGGGTTCTATAACGACTAGCGTGTTTGATTTTTACTCATGCGCCTTCTATAATTCTTGAATTATTTTTTATCAAAATTTCTATTTAAGTCTTATTCAGGAAACCCGACCCGTGGGAATATAACTATTAGCTCTTGTGCTATTTTTTCTGCTTCAGTAGAATCTAGTGCTATTACTTCTATACATCTATTAGCAGAATCAATTACTGTCAAAATATATTTATCCCCTTGTTCTTTTACTGGAAGTGGTCCAATAATATTGGCACTAATGGAAATAACTGTTTCACTAATAACTGATAAATTAATCATTAGGCTTTTTACTTTCATGCCATCTTACCAGCTGGCTAACATGCCGGACAGCTATTTACTTCAGTCTCTATATTTACAAACATATCCCGCAAGTAGGAGTTTTTACTGATCCTTTTCTTCGTTTTGACTCTGCCTAAATGTCCAGCCAACACACCCTATTTCTAATACTATCTGTCTACATTCCTTTGAAAGTATCATTTGATCCCTACCGGCTATTGCATCATTCCCGTTACATTTATGCCTGAATGCTCTTTCCCGTCACCAATAATAATTTTACCTAAGAAAAAATACTTTTGATTCCTCTGTCGTTTATCCAAACTCTTATCCTTTAACTGCCATTTAATTATTTGTTCTTCATTCATGTTTCCTATTCTAACAGCATTTGAAAATTCGTCATGATTTGTATTACTTACTTGGTGATTTCTTTCTTTCACTAATCCTACCACTGTTTCAGAATTTTCTCTAGTATTCCTTTTTTCTGGCTACTTGGGCTATGTGTCACTACTGCTTCTGGTGTATTTTGGAACACGACAGCTTCTACCTCATTGTCCATCAAAATATGATTTGGGGTATCATCCAACATCCCTACGACTATTTCACCTTCCATAGCTTGACATTTCAATGTGACTTTAACTATTGGTACAGCATAATAAGCCCATCCTGCTGTGGTGCTAAACGACTTTGAATTTAATTTTTCACCTGTGGGTTGGTTATCTTTTATTAACTCTTTTCTGACGAGAGTTTTCTAGCTACTAGTATCATTAATACATTTACAGTTTGACCATTTATCATAATTTTTCTAAATGTTTATTTGATTTTTTTTTCTATCTACTACTCATTCTATTCTCCATTCTTTACCTTCTTTGCCTACAGAGTTTAGCCATATATCCAATTTGGTCACATGTAAAACATTTTGGAGGAGGTTTGTATTTTATTTCCTTATTTACAGAGTTGCGCTGCAATAAGGTCCTCCTTACAATTCTCGGGGAGCACTGATCTAATTTGATTTCTTTGTTTTAAGTGATTTTATTGCTTGATTTTCACCTACTTTCAGCCCACTATGTTTCCTTATCACTGCACGTCATCCGCTAAAAATCATTGTCTCACGTATGAGTTTGCTCATACCTTTTAACCGTATTACTAACTGTATTCACGATCTTAACAAAATTTTTTCTTGCAGCATCAATTTCCAATGCATCTAAATTCTTCAATCCCTTTAAACAGTGTTACGTATTGAGAATTTGAAATAGTCTGAAGCCGATATTTTAGTTAAATTAATTGTCATTAAAATAAATATATAACAAATTCGTTACACGCAATACATATCCAACACTATAAGTTACGTATATTTTTAAATACAAACTTAATCTAAACAACGTTCATATGAAAAATAAAGATATGACAACAAATTCTTTACAACAGCAACTTATGCAGCATTGTTACATTCTCTTGAAATGTCTCCTTTCCCATTTCTTCTAAATCTCTGAACATTCTGAAATAAGATTACAGACCTACCACATTTATCTTTAAAATAGTTGATTTCCCCACATCATATCTTAATTCGTCTCCATTCGCAATTTTGTTTTATGCTGAAAACCCTTCCAGGCTGATTGTTTGAAATTATTCACAAAGCTACACAATGGGCTATCTGTGCTCTGCCACCACGGCTATCGAAACCCGGTTTCTAGCATTGTAAGTCCGCAGACATAAAAACCTTTCCAGGTAATACTAGAAGTAGTTTCCTCACCTTATCCTGTGGCTGCCATTTCGCTGCCCTCGCTGTTTTTTTTCTAAAGCACAGAATAATACATCTATATCACTTTCACCATTACCGTGATAGTTTTACCGAACACAATCGACATTCCCATATTTGCACTTAGTTCAAGTATACAAAAATCATATATTGTGATTTCCACCTCAATTAAAACTTCAAGTAATTCATGTTTTCCTAGTTTTTACTGCATGTTATACCTATTTCTCTACGTTATTCACAAGCTGACTTTTTGTCAGTGAGTTACGATTTTCATCCATGATAGCATTAATTCTCTACTTTAAACAAAGAACCAAACAATTTATAACCAGTAAGAATTAACTGAACCACTTCCAAAACTCAAACAGGCAAGATAAGAACAAAAAAGAAACTTACTGTCTTTTCCGACTTCACTGCTTCATCCTGTTAACTTTCCTTCTCAGCTTTTCTCTTCTTCTGTTGTTGGGTTCTTATTCCTAATGAATTGATGAATCCCACTTCTGAGACCACTTTGTGACGATCGTGCTAGACTCGCACTTCGCTTTCACTTCTTATAACCACCAACCTTATCAGCTTTTACTTATTATTATATTAAATACTTTTATCTTGTCAACTTATTTCCCTTCCAGTACATGTTTGTGGCACTGACTCTTGGAATTGTATCGTTTTCTAATTAATTAAAAGTAAGACAAGCTAAAAACGTCAAGAAAAAAAGAGAAATCGAATTAAGTTTACTAAAGATGGAATTTATTTCGGAAAAAATAACATTCTTGAAATCTTAAGGGCTCTTCATCTTCAGCTTGTTTCATGATGATAAAGCCAGAAGCTTCAACAGGAGCCTTCGTTCTGGTTAAAATAAAATAAGCTATATCAATTTTTTTATCAGGTGTTACATATGAGCATGATTCAGGTGCATTGTCAAGATACGTTATAGCATTTAATCAACAATACAGTATTAAAGATAAAATTATCATAGACTGTCATATCCTGGACTGTATACTAATTTCAATAGTTGCATGCTAGTTATTACTTTTATAATTCATTTTATCAGCGGGTAACACAAAAGTAATTTAATTGATTTATATTCGATATCTGTCTAACTACATCTGATTTCAATATACTCCGTTATTTTTTACTTTAAAATAACAAAAATCAGTAACAGTAAACAGTATCATAGTAGAAGAAGCTCCTTATAGAAGAGAAAATTGCTGCATGGCGATTAAAGCTTTTTCCTTTAATGTTATCTTATCAAAACCGGTTTCATCCTAGTAAGAGAGATACCTACTGCAAATTCTACCATACAAGGATAAACATGTATGTATGAAAAAGGTAAAATTTGAAAATATTATGCAAATGCACACATACACACATATAGCACTTCATAGCAGGCATTTTCCTCCGCAGTTACATGCCCATTGAGGCCGATTCATGCTAATGTGTATCTTACTGTCTAGAGGTAATATTCATACATTTAGATCAGATTTTTGGCAAGCTGTCTATTCATCCGTCGTCTATCGCATACAGAACATACTCTAAGATAGTTCATTCCATTTTTGGAAGGTTTCATTTTTCTAACTCGACTATATCTATCACTAACTGTGCAAACAGTTTCACGTTCTCTTATCAGAGTATTGAATAAATGTACGAACTGAAACAGAATCGTGTCACATTTTTTCGCATGAAATATCCTTGCCCAAGAAAAAACTCCATTTCTGTCCTGGAAGCCATAACTATATTCATACTACTAACATTAGGCATAGTAGTATTGTACTTTTATAGAGTTTTTACTGGTTCGGCATTTTCTAATTACTTGGGTGACAACCAATCACAGTGCAAACTATCAGAACGTGACTGTACTCTGATATTATTGCACTCTGATGTAGTTTATTTTCTCATAATAAAAAGGCGACATTCCGATAGTATTTGTCTTTTATACCCTTTTTCCTAACCCTTTCCATAATCATCTTCAGTTCTCTATGTACGTTTATACAAATATAGTACATACAAACATATATATGTTGTGTATATGTTTATGCGATGTTACTTTGTTAATTAGCATGCATCTTTAAACAAAGACAAATTCTAGATTTTTGTTGACATTAATATCTTATTCTAATAGGAGATCGTAAAGCCTAAAAACTCTTGTTAGTTCCTATTTCTTTTGTTGATCACAGACTATGTACTTCCAATGTTACAAAATAAAGATACCATAGATATAACCATGTTGTATTTCATGCGATATTTTGTAAAGGCTTTTATTTCACGCAATGCATTAAAAAATGACGATGGGCACTTTAAATTTTTGTAATGGTTAAGTGGTTTATGCAAGTAAAGATTAATCATGAAAAAGGTTTGTTGTATTACTCGTAGTTTCGTTTACCTTTATTTGAGGAGTCGATATGGCCTGCCTTGTATATCTAATCTAGAAACATGTGTATCCTGAAAATTGCCATAAATTAAAATGCGATGCTTTGGTAAATGGATCATAAGAAATAACATGTGAAACAGTACACACACACAAGGATTATCTATTATAAATATTTAGAGATATAGTAAAAAAACCATCTAGGATAATGTTAAGAGATTCAGTGATGTATCCAAAATTTTTAGCTTCCTACAACTGTTAGTTACGGGTAGCAAGCAAGTTAGCCTTAATGTTCATATAATTGTTTGTTATGGATTTCGCGCAAGGCTACACGAGGGCTTTCTGCGTTAGTCGTCCCTAATTTAGCAGTGTAA